AATAATGCACATTAATGGATATTAATGGGTATTAATGGATATAGATAGATATTAATGGAATTCATGGAATGTTATGGATATTAATGGCTATTCATGGATATTCATGGATATTCATGGATATTCATGGATATTGATGGATATTAATGGATATTCATGGATACTAATGGATATTAATGGATATTGATGGGTTCATTGTAGATATAGATCCCTTCAGAGTGATTGGATTGAGTATGATTGACTGGATAGCTGGATGAGAATCTGGATGGTTTGTTTTCATCCCCGGAGTTTCACCGTTTGGTAGCTCTGATGTGGGTTATTAACATGCATCAACAAGCAGAAAGGACAACTCCAAGCTCTCCAAGTGTCTAGATGTGTCTAGCGATCTAATCCATCCAGTGCTTCATGGTTTTTCCTTCAACCCATTTCGGGAGAGTCCCTGATCCAATGACCAAATCCTTTGTGAAAAGGACGCCATAAAAACAGTGTGACCCATCCCTGGAAATGGATACACAAACCACGGCTATTGGACAAAATGGCTATGGATCAGCCAACACATCAAATCGTGGCCCACAAAAAGATGGAACAGTCTCTTAGATGATTATTCACCCATTATTCACCCATTATTAACCCTAATATCCCACATAGTTCTCCATATTTTACCAGTCCCCCCTTTTTTTGCATTTGCGGCGCGGCTCGGGGCGGCCTCCACTTCCACCTGCCGCGCCGCAATTTGGGCGTTCAACTTGGCCAGCTCAGCCTCCAACTGGTCCTTCTCCTCCACCACTGCCACGATTTTTGGGGGAATGTTTCAAGTGGAAAAAACAGACATGGTCTGACGGAGAAAAAATGTAAGACATGGAGAAAAATGGAAAAATGGAAAAATTGATGGTTGTTTTGGATTTTTGGACTTGGGAGAAGTTTGGACTTTTTGCAGTGCGAAGCTGCGAAGGTGGACCGCACTGTCATCCAAGGATCAGTTGAAGCTTCTGCCATCCAAATAGACTGATGAACCTTTAAGTAGGCTTTTGGTAGAATTTCCGTAGCTGTAGCGTTATGATGTTTGAAGTTGCAAACCCATCAGCATGTACAGTAATTAATTAAGTGCAGACTTTGATGGTGAAGGATATTGAATGCCCCCAAAGTGCTCCTTGAAAGGAATGCCCAACATGAGCTCTCTGTACCAAAGTGAGTGTGCTGGTGTCGACACTTTCCAGTTTTATCTTACTGCATCTCCGTGTTTGTACGACAAATATTCATATTATTTCTCATAAACTCTTCCTTCACTCATGATCATTCAAGACCATTCTGGGCAGGTTGTAGCAGCAAAATCTTATTGTCGAGCTCTTTCCAAAACCGGTTGTGAATTGAGGAACTTTCAATGATTTTCATGCCTCATGTCATATATATTCATACAGCATACATGTGTTTGTCTGATTTTTGGGGGGAGAGGCCTTCAAATTTGATGGTTTATCATAATCTGCTCCATTAAAATCATTTAACATTGCTGTTTTAGGGGTATACCACAATTTTCAGGCAAACCCAGCTGGTGTAATCTGCTAGAAGGTCATCCAAAGATCACCCATGGCGGTTGATCAACATGGCAGTGTCGGGCTTGGCAAACACGTCGAAGTCCTTCTGCCACTGCCTTTTTTGAGCTCGCCTGTTCTCTTGTGTTTGCCTCCCCTAACGCCTCTTCTGTTCTCTCTCGGAGGTTGAGAAGGAGCTGATGCGGAGTGGCCCACACGGACATGCCCACTATTCGGAGTGCCTTCAGCAGCTAAATGTTCCTCGTTATGGCTCATTATTTGATGTTTCTTCGGCTTTGGTTGGATCTCAATGAGGCATCTCGGACACTTCGCAGCACCATAGCACGCAGATGTACTTAGTCCCTCTTAGTACGTACGGTTGGCAAGTCCCGGAGCAGGGGATGCAGGGGGTATTTGGGTCACGCCAATAGCCAATGGCTATCAACCATTTATTCCCGTGGTCAGTTGTGGATGATGATGGTTGATGCGTCCTCCAAATTTTCCAGGTTTCCACAAAATGGGGTTGCTATACGCTTCTTACTCGCGACCCCTCGAATGCGACAATGTCATGGGCCTGTCCTTTTCCAACGCAGACTTGTCCTTGCGGCAGCTGGTGCCAAATGTCGAACCAAACCACAGGACCACAGGCATTTCAAACTGCTAAGGGGGTTTCAATCCGACCCATTCTTGGGTTACCACATTGCTTACTTCTGTCCTTTTGGATCTGGAGAAAATTACCAAATGAGCATCCGGTAGCCACACTCGTTGGTCAAACTTCGGACTCGCTAAATTTGCCAAGAACTAATGACTTGAAACCATCGTACAAGTACAGTAACAGTCAAATACCCATGTTCGTTGGTTGCTCATAGCTGGTTGGTGGTTTCAACTCTCATGGAGCAGAGGAGAAACAACAAATTGAAACCACCAACCAAAAAATATCACGGCCAATCTTTGACACCCCTGCTGAATCGAAAACTAGCCGGTTCGTTTAATACCTAGACCCTCCGCTTACACATTGACATAAAGGTACTAAAATCATGGGGTAAGCACACATTTTATGGATACATTTGGAGGGTCTAGGTAAATGCATCAGCTGGCAAAATATCATTATTATATATATACCACACTATACTATGCTATACTAGACTAGACTATGCTATATGCTATACTATACTCAATTAACTCAATTTACCAAGACATAATCCGTCCGCCGGTCAGCGGCTCGCCGAGTCTCTGCTTCGGCAATGGACAACTTGGCACCCAGCGTTTCCGAGCCTCGGGGATCGGATTGTGAAATGATAAATCCGTGTGATCCCGAATCATCTGTGTATAATCTACCCTCTGGTTATGTCAAAATAGCTATTGAAAATGGTGATTTATAGTGGATTTACCCATTGAAAATGGGGATTTTCCATAGTTATGTTAGTTTACCAGAGGGTACCTATAGCATCTTTATATATGAACAAGATATATGTTTAGAAATGTGGGTATGGATTTTAGGGGACTTCGTTTGGACAAATCGTGGAATTATGATGGGATATAAGTGCGCTATTCACAGGGCAAACCTGAGGCCCCAAGCCATATCCCATTGGATCCTAACTTCAGCATCCAAGTAGGAAACACCTGGTATACCTGGTCTATCTGAGAACTTCTGGCAGAATAACCAGGACCCCACATATTCCTATCCAAGTATTGGCTTTGTGTGACAATGGGATACCCCGACTTTGATGGTTTGGCATGATTTTCCCAATTTTTTGAGTGATTTTTGGTGTGTTTCCCCCGTTTTGGCCACCGCCGTACCCTCTGGTAGCCATGAGAAAATCACCCATTCTAATAGGCAAATCAACTATAAATCACCATTTTCAATAGCTATGCTAAATTACCAGAGGGTATCCTCCAAAGGCTGCCTCCATTTTTTCAACCGCAACTTGCTGCGCGTTGTGAGTTCAAAGTGTCAGGCGTTGTGGCGTTGCCTGGCTACCAGCCACTCCGGGCTGATGCTTCCGTTCATAGAACCTCAAGATGCGGCGGCAGGGGTAAGGATATATGGACACGTATCAAAATTGGGTTAGATAGATAGATACATGGATAGATGGATGGATGGACGGATGGATTGATGGATGGATCGATAACTCAATATACTTATGTATATATATATAATATACATTATATATAATATATACATATATATATATATGCGTGTTACACACACACACACGCACACACACACATATATATATATATATATAAATACACACATATACAAAGGGTAGCATGATCAACCAAGAGGGGTGTCTCGCCACCATTGCTCAGTCGGACAATTTCCATTGCCAGGTGAATGATAGTCCGAGGATGTCCGAGGTTCGGTGTCCCATGATGAATTGCGGGTCATCCCCAACAAGACATGCCAATATGGCCACGACCCATTCACCATTGCAAAAAAAACAAAAACACCAACAAATAACATCAATAACACACTTCATGTTCCATTATGTTCATTTATTTTAACCAATACCTTCCACGGTTTCGCTTGCCCTGGATCTGGTCAAGCCTCCAGAAACGGCAGCTGAGTTACCTGGATTGAATGGATTGGGTTTCTCAACTCTGCTCATGGCTTTGTGCCTGGGAAGATTCGCAGGGATGACCATCAAACAAACCAGGCAGAACCGGCAGGATGTGTCTGAAAATAGGCTATAACTCTGCGAATCTATGGCATTTTAAGGGGCGATGTGATGGGAATCCATCAATTTTGGGAGTACCATGGAGGACCCTATTTTCAGACAAACCCCATAACTGATCTCATGTATAGTAGCTCCACTGGTCAAGTTGCGACGACCCCATTTGAACATGGTGGAGGCTTGTGAGGAAAAAACTGCTTGGTCTGGGCCACCCCGATGGAATGATTGGTGAAAAAAGCTGACTGCGAAATTCACTTCTTGAAGGATCCTCCCACTTAGTAACTGGTGATAGTAACCGTGGTGATTTTTTTGTCCAGGATTTCGTGGGTTTTCACAGACAGAATGTTACTAACCAGTTATTGTTCCTTGGATGATTCTCAAAGTAGTTCCTTGAGCTGGTTCACACCTACCCTCGACTCGAGATCCTCAAGTACTTCAACATTTGTCTATAGAAAATCAATGAAAAACTGAAAAACATACCGTGTTGAGAACATGTAAATCATCGAACTAAACGGGTCACCGCTTGGATGAAGAGCTTGCATAGGGGACCCCCATGTAGCCAGCCATTATTAGTATCAGTGGCTGTTGGTCAAAATTAACCCTTATTGGACCCTGATTATCGGGTGCGAGCACCATCGGGTTGGCTGAATCATCTTGAGTCCAAACTTGAAGAATCGAGTGTTCACAGGTATTCCCAGCTCATGGAGGATGATGATCCCCAACGTATTTGGATGATCAACCAGGAGTTTAGCAGCCACAACGCTCAGTTCACCAAGTGACCTCCGTCGCGTTCGCTTCATGCCTTTCGGCCCCACATCTCCACCTGCAACGTGACGCCCTCGAACTGGGAGCCGTTCAAGGCGGCGCAGGCGGTCATGGCTTCACTGTTGGACTTGTAGGCAGCTCCTGGCCATGGCTGTGAAACCTTGGATGGCGATGTATGACCTAAGGGTAGGTTTAACATGGTTTAACCAGGCAGAAAACTGATTGAACCAGCAGAAATTGGAATTCCACTTGATTTGACATGATTTAACCAGGGGAAATGTGCGTTTAATCACTCAAAGCAACAGGAATTGAGTTTATCCTCCAGAAAATGTCCGGATTACCCGGCAGAAATTAGGATTTCACCAGGAAAAATGATGGGGTCTAGCAGAAAAGGGGGGAGTGAACTTTCAATTATTGGGTAATTCCGATGGTTTTTTTGGGATGGAATCCGCAAGGCACCAGCTGGAAGATCCATTGATCAGTCCTTCCAAAGAGTTGTACAGTTGGGGGTTGGAAGACCACGTTCCACTAAAAATGGCTAATTCTTAGGCTGTTAATTGAGGTGATGATAGGGTTTGACCAATCAAAATGGGCATAAAACATCATAAAGCGTTATATGATGCAAATGAATGCAAATGAAGCACCCTGCAATCTCACGTTTTTGTAATCATCTTTCATTATGTTTCATTGAAACGGCCATTGGGTTGTGCCTAAAATGTCCAATCGAGGTTCATGTTCCAGGTAAAGATGAACACATCTTTGCAACCACCAACCAGCAACAATTAATGAACCCCAATTGAGATGATTTGCCTATCCCATGAACCCACCGTTTTCCCCGGCTGGTGGTTTCAAAAAAAAATCTAGAATTATCTAATCTACCCTCTGGTAACTTAACATAGCTATTGAAAAATTGTGATTTATAGTTGATTTACCCATTAAAAATGGTGATTTTCCATAGTTATGTATAGTTATGTAAACGTTTACCAGAGGGTATCTCTCGTATCTCCCAGACATAACACATGCTTCAACATTTCTCTAGCCCGGGCGTCCTCCGGTGCCACTCCTGCCAATCTCTGCGTAGAGGCATGTGACGCCGGCGGTGGACATGTGCTCCTGTGTCACGGGGGTCAAACGTCTCAAGATTGGGATGTTTTTAGTGTTTTCAGTCTGTAGTATGCGTACTCTTAAGTCTGGGTCAGATGTCCATCGTTGAGCCCAGTCATCCCATTTTTAGGTATCCAAATCTTTCTCATACCCCATCGTCTTTCTCAAAGTTCCAGACACCGAAGTTCCAAAGTCACCACCGTTGCTTTTTGGGGGTCCCAGTTTGGTGCAAAAAACATGTGGATTGAGGGCGCCTCTGTACCATGAATCATCTCAACAACATTGAACCCCCAAGACGTGTTTGCCAAAACCCAAAAGTCAGCTATTGATTTCCAAAAAACAAAGTAGCTATTAGGCTATTAATGTTCTTCATTTATAACTGATCCTCCCATTAGATGTATATATATATATATGTATATATATATATAGGGGGGTTCGCAGCTAGCCACGTTTGATTGCCGCAGGGTATTTCATCATTCATCGGCTTTTGGAACTCTATTTTTGTGGCGTCTGTTTATTTGATGTTTCCATCCAGCCGCCGGCACTTCAAAATGGGTGGGTGCTGTGAAAATGGGTTGGCATCTCCAGTGACATATCGACCATGGCCACCGGGGGACCGCTGGGATGATCCATGGTGAAAAATGCCATGGAGATTCTGGGTCCTTTGATGTCCTTTGCTGCCAGATCTATGGAAATTACATCCATTTGCTGCCAGATCTGATAATCAAACATGGCAATTGAATCCAATTGTGATGATTTTCCCATTGAAAGCCCATTTGGGATTTTCCAGCCATTTCTGACCAGAGGCTACCCGGCTACCCGCTTCCCAACCACTTCCCTGATCTCCTTCAATTTCATGTTGATCTCCTTGCTGGTGTTGTTTGGCGGCATGCCTCCGACGAAGACCTTGCGATCGTTCTGGAAGTTGCGCAGGCCCGTCTTGCCGAAGCCCTTCATCATCATCATGGGATTGAACATGGGCTGCCAAACCTCAGGAAAGCCAGGTTTGGGTTGCATGTTGTGAAGCAATGAGGTAAAAGTGTAAGAGCCAACAAGAAGGGTTTCCTACATTTTACTATGCTTCTTTAACAACCAACAATCACTAAGAAGGGCTTATTATATGAACCATCTATCACTATCTACTATTGGAAGGGTCACAACATTGGAAGGGCTGATTGAATCCCATGGTTTTCATAAATTTTCTGGTGAACCAATGGGGTAAAAGTTGCGAAAAACTCACACATACAATTGCTATGAACCAATCAAACCAAGGTATACCATGATTTTTCATCTAAATTTGGGTTGCCAAACCTCACTCAGGGCGGATCTTCATTGGACTGGCTGAAGGAAGGGCCCGATGCTGTACCCAAAATAACGAACCATCCTGAATTTGTGTTTTGTGACAAGGCATACCTCTACTTGGGATGTTTCATGCTAGTCCCAAAATGGTTGATGTGAGGAAACTTGAGTCTTTACAACAATAAAGGTGGTTTTCAAACAGGGAGTTTGCCATTATCATGCCAACTCTTAATGAAGAATATGGCGAATATCTTCCTTCTCTCAGGACTTAGACCATGGACATCAAAACTCATCGTCAACTCCAAGCAACGCCACAGCCGCCCCAGTTGCTGCCGCATCCTGCTCCTTTGCCCATACCCATGCCCTTGCCCATGCCCATTCCCATGCCACCCATGGCCTTTCCCATGCCCTTGCCACAGCCACCATCACCGCTATAGCCACCACCATAGCCCTTGCCACACCCTCCGCAGGCTGCGCCGAAGCCACCAGCCGCTGCCCCAGCGCCCCAGTCCTGTCCACCGCAGCCCCAGTCCTGACCGCCTGCGGCGCCCCAATCCTTACCACAGCCGCCCCAGCCCATGGTTGGTACAAAAATGGGCCGAAAAACAAAGGATCTCAGAGATCCTCAAGCGCCAAACAAGAAAAAACAGAAGAGCTGGATGTGACAATGATATCTGTTGAATTTGTTTCTGTGACATTTCTGTGATTCATCTCTTATTCGCGCAACTGCTGAGGCTTCCTGTGGGTGCCTGGGAGCCGACAAGCCAGTCAAGCAGCCAAAAATCCCGTGTTGATAGCTGACTTTCCTCGTGCCCTTAGGCACTCAATCATGGCATAAACACCATGTTACTTTTACTCGGAAAAATACGGGAAGCTTAATATGCTTAATACATTTGGGGAAATGGACTCTACATTGACAGGTTAAATCTGCTAGAGTCGAGAGTTCTTGTTTTGTTTGCCAAAGCGGAGCGGCTGTTTGGATGAACGACATGGACGAACTCATGATTCAAATTGCAGAGAACGTTCCCGTCCTGAAAGTGCGTGACACCGTGGCATTCCCAAAAAAGTGGTTTCCCCCCAAATCATGGTTATACCTTTTGGGGCACTCATGATACCCTCCAACATCAACAATATATTCTATTATGGTTTCCGTTTGGGCATGCAGCTTATAGTTCAATCCATTTCCATCCATTTTCCAATTTTTTGTCCCAGAATGTCTGCGATGTGATCATCACAGCATTCTCAAACGGTCAGCCACCTGTCATTCGATACTCCTCAAAACACAAACATGTGTTTTGTCTTTATAGTTCATTCATATGTTCATTCCTCCATTTGAGGTATACAGTATAATAAACCACTACACTATTACAGTGTGTTGCCCCATAGTTAGCTAAGTTGTTGTTACAACTGTCCATGGTAGATATACCAAGGTATACCCATCGTTAATGGGGCCCGTGAACCAACTCACAACTGCGGGCCGTCACATTGTAATTGACTAGCCTAAGGACCAGGGTTGACACAAATGATACAAATTATGAACGGATATATTAAAGGCTGATACTATCTCCATCCCGGTGGTGTTTGGGCCACCAGTGCTGCATCCCTTCTTTTTTCCACCGCAGCACAAGCGCTGCGCGTTGTGAGTTCAAAGCGTCAGGCGTCATGGCATTGCCGGAAGCAGCCACTCCGGGCTGGTGCTTCCGTTCATAGAACCTCGAAGCGCGGCAATTTCAAATGCGGTTCGGCGGTTCACCAGCCGTGGGGGTAGATACCAACCTATAATTAATGATTTAAATGGGCCAGGGCAAAATCATAAATTAAAGATTATATAGGTACGGACAGAAAATCAACTCATCCCATCTTTCAATCATAATATATCATCATACCACCCCATAAATGTTGGATGTTGAAAATAAAATCTACGACTAGATCAGGCTTTGCGAAACGTCGATCAACGATGGTAACGGCCATCTTGGTGGGCTTGCTCTACCTGAAAAAGATGAAAAATAAATGAGGATGCAAAGGTATCATACCAAATAGGATGGATGACAATAAGGATCAATACGGCATATATCAAACCACCAGCCAGGTTACACCTCGGGGTCAACCCAAACTCCCGGCCCAATCATGCCGAGACCTCAATTGCTCAATGGTACGACTTCCCAGAAATCAAATGATGAGTTCCCATGATCTCCAGAGGTTTCCAATGATCAACAGCTCACACCATCTTGGGATTCCAGGTCTCTAGTGTACCAGGTCCCGCTTCCCCAAACCGCAGCTGAGTTACCTGGATTGATTGGATTGGGTCTCTCACCTTTTCTCATGGCTTTTTGCTATCAGCCAACATGAGAGCCTTTTACCTCAGAAGCTGCTGGCGGGGTGCAAACAAAGCCATGAGTCTTGAGGTTTATCCCATAGTGATCGACTTGGAAGCCTGAGTTGGGGGCCACCACCCCACGATTACAGCGAATTACCAGAGTAACGTGGCCCCGGGTTTTACACAAAAATCAAGAGGATCATCTGGAAAAGCACGAGAAGCTGTTGAGCTGCACGGCATGCTGAATCCTAACCTGAACAAAAGAAATCACCGTTTCACTTGTTTCTCATCCATCCACAACCCATCAAATCACGGACTACGCGCCATGTCTCCAGTTGTTCCACTTCTTCATGTCTGCCACCCCAGATTGGTGGGTTGACTGATATTTTTCCGATTTTCACGCTATGATGTTGGCCAGGTCATTAAGTACCTCTCTTCGACTATCATAAATTCCACCTGAGATCAAGATGTTCTCCATTAATGAGTTTCAGTCCCCACAACGCAATCCTTCCGGGGTTTCAAGTTGTCTCACCAAAAACCTTCAAATGATTCTTAGGACGTTTGCAGTACCACCAAAAAACCATGTGTATCACGGTTTATCACCAAAAACCCTCCAATTCATCCCTTCCCAATCTCAGATACCCTGTCAAAAAAACAACTGACTAGGTTAGAACATATAGATTATATATAATCATATAGATATCTTCTATATGCCCTCTGGTAATCAAACATGCTAATGGAACATATCCAGCTCCAGCTCAATGATTTTCCAGCTGTGTCTGACTTTCTGGGAAACTTACAACGCATCCCAATTGGTTCAGCCACTACCTTCCAGTAATCAAACACGTCAATGGAGAAATCATCATTTAATAGGAATCATGTCCCATTAAAAACCCATTAAAATAACACAAAATAACCATTTATTATATTTATTAGATCTATTTATCTTAACCATTTGTGGAGGATTTTCAGTTGCTGCCATCTTGGGTTTCCGCCACGTGACGGCGCCAGGCTCAAGCCGCTCATGCCTTCCGTCCCCACATCTCCACCTGCAATGTGACGCCCTCGAACTGGGAGCCGTTCAAGGCGGCGCAGGCGGTCATGGCTTCACTGTTGGACTTGTACGCAGCTCCTGGGGCGGGCCGTGGGAGTCCCCCGTCCTCTTCAACGAGGGTCTGGTGTTTTCAAGGTTCAGAATGTGGAAATGTTGCTGGGGAAAACATATAGGAAAACCATGGTGTCTGGGTCGTGGTCCTTAGTAGTGGAATGGGATTACAGTTTCCAAAAATGATGGGTTCACAAGGAGAAAAGTGAGCATTTGACTTTGACGAAATCAAAATGATCTGCAAATGGATTCACCCAACAAAATTGGGGTTTACCCCGAAAACTCATTGCAAATCTTGAAAGCAAAACGCAAGTCAATGTGGGGAGTTCACACCTTAGATCTTGGCATGGGCCTTCACATGGGCTAATACATTCCCCTCAAAAAAGGGCATAAGATCTGAGTTACCCTCTGTATATTTAACATAGCATGTGGAAAATCACCCGTTGTTCACAGGTGAGTCATCATGTTTATCATCTATAAATCATTTATACCATACAAGTACAGCAAACTGTTCAATAACCAGAGGGTACAATTCAACTGCCCTTTGCCAGCCGGCTTACCATTGGCCGAACAGTGTTGAAAAACTGGGGGAACGAAAAGCACAATCAAAACATGTAACATCAGACAGTGCTGTCTATGGAATTTCTGCATTCGATGATGCCACTTCGGGATGCTCCAATTGCACATATCATATATGGGGTATTTTGTTTGAACATACCCTTCCATGTCTTTCTCAATTTTGTACCACAAAAGGAGACTATAGCTGGTTGGTGGTTTCAACCCCTCTGAAAAATATGAGTTCGTCAGTTGGGATGATGAGATTCCCAATATATGATATGGAAAGTCATAAAATTCATGTTCCAAACCACCAACTAGATCGAGATCACCAGGTGGGGTATATGACTAGTGCCGTGGAGATCGGATAGCCCGGGCGTCCTCCTGTGCCACTCCTGCCAATCTCTGCGTAGAGGCATGTGACGCCTGCGGTGGACATGTGCTCCTGAGCCACGGCGAATCAGGTGCACTGCTACCACGGTCATCAGCATGAAACATTAAATCCTCCCATGAGAAACGCTAATCCAATTGTCCTGTCCATTGTGTTTCTGACACTGCGAATGTTTGAAACCACCAAACCGAATAGTCTTAAGATGTCGTAATTAAATACGTAAGTAAATGCCAATCCTATTGGCTCTCAAAAACTGACGCATATCTGCCATGAAGCAGCCCGAAAACACAGACGCAAAGAATCCCAAAGATCTGTTCACCCAAAAAACAATTGTTGATCGTTGATCACCCAGGTGGTGGTCAGCCCAAAAAATCACAGATGGAAAATCACACCAAAATCATCACTTGCAAACAATTTATGTCTTTCAAGTGGGTATGTTCCATTTTGCCAGCTTGGAACCAACCAAAGGGTAAGTGCGAACTCAACCCCCCACCACCAGGTGCAACCCCTGATTCCATAGAATTTCACTTTATATACTCACATAATCTCACATATACCAATCACTCTCAACATCTCTTAGCCAACCAGCCCCCTTTGGGATCTCCTTCAATTTCATGTTGATCTCTTTGCTGGTGTTGTTTGGCGGCATGCCTCCCACGAAGACCTTGCGATCGTTCTGGAAGTTGCGCAGGCCCGTCTTGCCGAAGCCCTTCATCATCATCATGGGATTGAACATGGGCTGCCAAACCTCAGCGAAATTCGGGGTAACCCTGGGGGGTGTTAAAACACTATACTAACAGCAAAGCCAAAATGATATGGAGAGGTCATGCATGGTCATGTAGAAACCACTATTTTAGTGGTGTTCTTGTTTTCTATATATATATATGAGTTGTGGTTTGTGTATATAACTTAATACTTAATTACTGTTTCATACATGAAATTCAAATACAGAAAGCCCATGAAAAACCATAGCTTCCCAATAGATGGTATATTTTCCATATCCATGTTAACTTGCTAAATTTTTAATGGTATATATATATAATTAATCATATATATATAATATATATATATATATCATAATGTAGAATCCATGCCATCTAGGTCCTAGAAAAAAATGCATGGCTGCAATCCATCCAGCCAGGATCGATCCCTCAGCTTGCATGGGAATGGGAGACCCAGGCCCTTCCAATGTTACCAAGCAACGCCACAGCCGCCCCAGTTGCTGCCGCATCCTGCTCCTTTGCCCATGCCCATGCCCTTGCCCATGCCCATTCCCATGCCACCCATGGCCTTGCCCATGCCCTTGCCACAGCCACCATCACCGCCATAGCCACCACCATAGCCCTTGCCACACCCACCGCAGGCTGCGCCGAAGCCACCAGCCGCTGCCCCAGCGCCCCAGTCCTGTCCACCGCAGCCCCAGTCCTGACCGCCTGCGGCGCCCCAATCCTTACCACAGCCGCCCCAGCCCATGGTTGGTACAAAAATGGGCCGAAAAACAAAGGATCTCAGAGATCCTCAAGCGCCAAACAAGAAAAAACAGAAGAGCTGGATGTGACAATGATATCTGTTGAATTTGTTTCTGTGACATTTCTGTGATTCATCTCTTCTTCGCGCAACTGCTGAGGCTTCCTGCGGGTGCCTGGGAGCCGACAAGCCAGTCCAGCAAATCAAGAAAGAGCATCTCGGTCAATTGATACCAGATCATCTTCTGAACGTTCCATACCAACTTGGCCGGGCAGCTCAGCTAATTTCCATTCAAGTCCATTCAATTCCTATTTTTGGGAGACAAACATAGAAAAAAAAAGTATCTGTGGTTCAATCAGTTGAACAGTCAAACATCTCTGGTAGTTTTGGAGGCCGACCCCCAGGTTCGCTCAACCTTTTTTCAGGGCCAACCAGCCATTGCGTATCCATCGAATTGGTGCAGTTCGAGCTTGCCCAGCTCGCAAGAGCGCTGCAAACAGGTGCCATTTCGTGTGCCCTCATAAGATACAAAACTGTTTCAAAATGCGCTTTCGAATTGGAAAAAGCGCACCGGTATACACGTGTCTGTTGACACCTTGCTCTGATTTCTCTCAGAGGCATGAGCCGCCCATTTGGGGACCTTTCCTGTCATATTGCCTTCATAGATCTGCTTTCATAAAACCGTGTTGCTTTCTTTTAGCGGTTCCGGTCACGGTTCCGGATGGTCTGCCGGTCACACCTTCTTGCCTTGGGCACTCCATAGGTCACATTGAATCGGCATCCCCTGAAAGAGGGACCCATTCAACGCAGCGCAGGCGACCTGCGCATCCGAGTTGGTCCTGAGCGCTAAGAACGCTACGACCGCGTTTGAGGGGAAGAAAACGAGATGGGCCGGGCTTCATGTCATAGCCGGATCCGTTTGGAAATATAGTGGATTAATGTGGATTAATGTGGATTATAGCATATTATACCATCATGAATCATGAGATTGTTTTGTGAAAAAAATGAAATGACTTTACTGAAATTGAAATACACTCCAATAAAATCTCTATTGCCACTTTCAAGGGAGCTCAAGTCATGACTAGATCCAACATCTCATCGGATGAGTTGGATGAGGGTTTCGATTGGGGTGTAATGCAACCCGCGATAAATGTCAACCCCGGGGCTGTTGACCAGTGGCGGGGTGCCAAATTGTAATAACATGACATCGCTTTTTGGGGCAAGACCCCGATCCTTAATCAATCAAGGTATATAAGAGAGATTTAGCTTGTTTATTTTACATAGCTATATATCATACATCTTACATTACCATAAGGTAAGATCCCCATCTTTTCATAGATCCCATTGCATCCTGATTAGCGGATTATAATCCAATTCATCCCATATATGTTCTCCCAATTTTCATGGTAAAATGATGGTCAAATCCCACCATTTCTCAACGCCGAAAGTATGCCGAAAGTCTTAAAGGCCGCCCCGCCGGTGCCGGTTTTGCCAACCTCTGCGTAAAGGCAATTGACGCCGGCCGAGGACATGTGCTCCTGCCGGTTGCCAAGGGATATCCAGAATTTGGGGGTTTCCAAAAATGACCTTTCTACCAAAGATCCATCAAGATCCTATCTAGAAGAAAGTAAGAAGTAATAAGAACCACAATTTCGGGTTGGAAACCACAATTCTGGGATGTTGCTGTTACCTTTTGGTGGCCAAGAAAAACAATGGACAATTCCCTGAATTAGTTCCATGAAATTCCCAGCTATAAACAAGGATTTCCCATTGCCAAATCAGGGTAGTTCTTTTTGGACAGTGCTTGATCAATGGATCATTCCAGTACTTCGATCTCCTTCAACTTCATGTTGATCTCCTTACTCACCTCAGAGAAAACCGGGCCCAAAAAAGGTTCCCTGGGTGGATATCCCAAGATGTTAGAACTAAAGGTCCGAGAAAACATTGGTGACCCAACGTTCGATCCAACATCTAGAACTTCCAAAAGCACGATAGCAACCCTGCAAGAAATAGAAACTTATAGAAACTTCAAACTTCAGAATCCTACTCAAATAGGTAATCTACTTGTCGATCTTTTCAGGGAATCTAACTTCACCCTAAAAACACCATCGGCCAGCGCCCGGTTCTCAAACTCAGTGACGTTGTTGGGCGGCATGCCTCCCACCCAGACCTTGAGGTCTGGAGCGAAGCTACGGAGACCGTTCTTCCCGGAGCCTTTGCCCATCATGGACATCATCATGGCGTTGAACATGGGCTGCCAAACCTGGCTGAAAACAGCAACGCCTCCCTTTGTTAAAAGGGGTGTAGAAATGGATGGGATTGGAAGTTTGCCCCCTTTTTTGTTGATCGGAAATGGCTGGAAGAAAAATGGTGATAGACTCAAAATTATAGTATCACTAATTTAGCGTTTATGGGTGACATATCGAAGATTGGATGATGTTAGATGATGTTCGATGGCCAAACCTGCAGGGAGAAACCAACTCCACTTAAGTAGTGGCGAAAACCAACTCAGGGAAAGTGGTGATTTAACTAGCAAACTTGGGGTTTGCTGGGTTTACCCAGCAAATTGAACATGGATGGAATATCAGCCATTTAAAGTTCGCTGATTCTTCCATCTTTTCTGGATCATCTGGCTGGGATTTTCCATCTGTTACATTGCCAGAGGCCGTAGCCCAACGCTTCAAGCCCCAAATGTCAAAACCCCAGCAAACCCGAATCCCAACAGGGGGTTTTCACCGGTCAGTGCATGTCAGTGCGATCGTTTGGAACCAAGGAACGCCGCAGCCACCCCAGTTGCTACCCCAGGAACCACCACCTCCTTTGCCCTTTCCACTTTGAACTCCGGCTGTTGGCGTGGGAACGGCGGCGACAACAGCTCCCTGTCCCTTTCCTTGGCCCATGCGTGGGGGCACAACGACACCCTTGCTACCATAGCCCTGATTCATGGCTGCGAAGGACGAATTTTTCGGGCACGAGAGAACGAGAAAGTCGGGGAACCGCAAGGAAAATGTGGCAAATTTAAGCTCATGCAAATTGCACAATGGTGTCATGTTTTAAGTCAGTTTGGGCGAAAATGTTTGATGCAATGCACATGCACTTCTGTTGCTTTGCAGCCGCCTGTTTGAGCAAATGTCCGAGCCACGCGCAAAACAATCAACGTGTTTCAACTCTCAATGGGTTGATTTAAGAAAACATCTAAACCAAGGATACCATGTTTCTTTACCAGAAAATATGGTGGGTTCCAGAGTTTTCCTGTAAATGCTCCCATCATAGAAGATCTCTGGGACTGGCAGGAAAACCTATTGATGACAATATATGAAACCAGCAAGCAGTTTTCGGGCAATATTATCTCACTCAAAGATTGCTTTTTGTCCGAGATTCATCACTTCTGCTGTGGCCACCCCGAAGGCTGTGGAATGACCAGCTGGCCATGGAATTTTCCACCAGCGATGCATCGAATTGGCGCACTTCACCCCTCAAAGCTTGCAGGTTGCAAGCTGGAAACACTATGGAACGCGCCACTGAGTGCTGAATGTTTTTTGCTCCAATAAATCAAAAATGAACTAGTTGGGGTCATCACAGGTTTGGAAACTGGTGCAGATTTTCAGTATATTGTAGTTGTTAAAAGTTGCACATCGTGACACAAGAATCTGATCAACAAGGTCCTATACTAGACCAGGACCGGCACCTCCTTTTCGGAGCTTTCATCGAGTGGTCCCTTCTCATGTTTTCCGACTCCACATGTCACAGTGCAGCGTCACACCCTCAAACTGCGAACCATTCAGGGTGCTGCAAGCTACGAGGGCTTCGGAGTTGGTCCTGGTTGCGATGCAAGAACTGGAAAAATGTAAAAAATGGTTGATGGATGTTGGTGGTGTATGGTGGTGTATGTGGTTTCAACATGTTTCAACCCCATGAAAATCCCTGAAAAATATGTGTCAGCTGGGATCACCATCTCATGGGCTTGAACATAAAAACATATTTGAAACCACCAAAAACTGTTTCAATTTCCAGATGTTTTACATGTGTTTACACCTTATATAATTTGCACCACCGAAATGAAAATTATACTTTGAAACATTAATTTCCCATGTTTACAAGCACATATTTGTAAAATCATTTGATGGTCTTTACACCTTAATTTCCAGCTGTCCAAAGCGTCCACATCGGTTCGGTTGCGATATTTCCGCAGCTTGACATGCAAAATGTGGCACGAAGATAAGCAACAGCTATAGTCAATGGATTGGTTTAAGGGAAAATCTTAACCGGAAACCCCAAAGATTTTCCCATCAAATTTGGGGTCTTCCTGTAAAATTTCCTCAAACCAATCAATTGACTATTTACACCGTTCGGGTTGTTCCTATAAAGTTTTGGGAGGACTGGGGTCTGTTCCGGTGGGTTTACCATGGTTTACCACGTGAAAAAATGCACAAGCGAAACATTGCCAAATGAAACTGAATGGAGTTTGCTTTGGTGGGGAACATATTATATGAAAAACATTGAATCAAACAATACAGTTGACCAAATAGTCCGTTTCCCCCATTGTCCTTAAAGTTGGTAGTTACATTGCCCTAAATCCACCATGTCTCTTGTAGAGAAAACCCCGCCAGGAATTAGGTGTAGTATTGGATCTGTTCATGTTCGGGATCTATTATTCTAGGCCAATCTACATCAGATTTAATGAATCATCTATAGTAATTATTAGATTTTCAAGTACCATGATCAGAAATTCCGTAATTTGCCAAGCTCTCTTTACCAAGCTCTAAAATCCCATTGGACCGCGCTCCTGGTCATATACTTCCCATCCCCCTGCGTATGTTTTGCGAGAAAATGCGGGACAAATTACCATCACAACCTTGAAAGATATGAGAAATAACATTGTGGGGATAGGGTGATGCTCTTCTCTCTCTCTAACTATATAATATCTATGAATTAATATATAATTATAATGAATTATTGGTGTTTACTTATACAGATTCTGTACCCTTTGAACATAGTTGTTTAAACTACGTAGGCAAACCATCTTTAATTTGTCATTTTCAAAGCAATGTTAAATCACCAGGAAGTATATAATCTATAAACCATCATCTATGGTATAAATCATCATCTATGGGACTTGGTGGGTCAGTGAGGTCGCTACATTTTGCCTCATATATTGCAACGGAATTCTGAAGACATTCCATTGTTTCGGATTATAGGTCAGTTATTTCCCAAATAGAGTTTTAATAACTTGAACTGGCAATGACATAGAAAACTGAGCTTTGGGTGAGATTCTTTTTGTTTTAATGATTTGAATTTCCAACTTTGGGACTTGGTGCTGGTACATCCAGAAAACATGGGTTTTCTGCAAAACATCGCATCCCAAACTCAATCATCAACCAACCATCATTTATCAGTTGCACTTTATCTCCACATCTTAGTTGTTAAAAGCCCTATGAAATACGAATGATTCAATGACCATGATCATCAACCAACAGGTTATATCCCAGTAGTTGGAGGGTAATTGCCATGAAAAAATACCTCTTATGATTATACCCTCTGGTAAATAAACATAGACCCCGAAAATAGCCAATGTTTAATGGAAACTAGTCTTCCAACCCCTATCTGCCAGGGTCTATGTTAATTTACCAGAGGGTGGATGATCTTGCCATTATAAATACCATCAAATGCCTATACTCAACCAACTGACTTCCGCAGCTTTTCTCCGAGGTTCTTGAAGGCTGCTCCCCCGGTGCCACTCTTGCCGATCTCTGCGAAGAGGCATGGGACGCCGGCCAGGGACATGTGCTCCTGCACCATAGCAACTCGTGAAAAAAAATTGGGTACCTCAATAATCAGATGGTCGGTTAATACATGTTAATACTAAATTATACTGAAAACAATGACCGCAGAGGGCTTAAATTTTGACCCATCCCCAGATGTTTGTAAAAGTAGTGTATCATGTAGGTTATGTATGGTTATGTAGGTTTATAAAGTGCACAAGAGCAGGCTATGTAGGGGTTCAAACATTTCCCTTTGGAAAACATAGATGGGGGCCCGTCTGGTATAATAAGTCTCATCATTTAAAATACTTGTTGGTTGTGGCATGGGGTTGATATTCACAAAGCTACCAGTTTGAAAGGATATCTATTTAGTACTATTTAGATCAATTTAGGCTTTATGGATTATCACAGTAGCTTTGCCACTGGCAAGAATAATGATCAGACTTGACAAAAACTCTGGTGATGACATCTGGGGATGAATCAAAAAAAAGGGGACCCCTCAGGACATCCCCCAACATCACCATGGGTTCATGATCTAATTAACTTCTAACTGGGGGGGGGGTCACCACCTGCCTTCCAGCTGGCTGATCTTTGGGCTGCTGGCATTGCTGGTGTACGCTTCGTAATTGCAAATTTGGGCGCCCTTCGCAAAAAAACATCGAGTTCATGATGGTTCACCGCCTCCCCATAAACCTTACGCAGTGTTTTTTCCTTCCCCCATGCCATAACACATGGGCAGTGCGGGTGCACAAGCTGGACCCAGTGTTGACCACACCAGCGAGGCCCTCTGGTGATCCAATAATGGAACATCACCATCTGGAACAGGCAAACCGTCACATATCACTAGAAAACTCATGATGGTTTACCAGAAATCAGGTGAAAAACAGAACTAGTGGGATGATCTTTTACCAGAAACATATGACTCATACATCCCTCAAAGGAACGTAATTAATACTAATCTGGTTGGTGGTTTTAACCATCTTGAAAAGTATTCGTCAATGGGAAGGATTATCCCAAAAATGATTGAAACCACCAACCAGTAATTAATTAATCTATGATTAAAATGAATGGACCATCAATCCTAACTTCTAACTTCATGGACCATCCCGGCCTGGCCCCGATCTGATCGCCAATTCCAGATACATCGGACGCAAAAAAAAAGCAACGAATCTAGCCACAAAAAACACATCCAAATGATCCAAACATATCCAAACATAACTAACTCATTAACTCCAAGATGTGCCAAGATGTGCCCCCTGTGCTCCTTCAATTTCATGTTCAGCTCCTTGCTGACGTTGTTGGGCGGCAAGCCGCCCACCCATACCCTGAGCTCTGGCGCGAAGCTGCGCAGGCCGCCTCCGGCCTTTCCGGAGCCCTTGGCGAGGACGGACATCATGGCGTGGAACATGGGCTGCAAAACCTCGGATGGAGCTGGGTTGTTGGGTGATATTTTCATGGGATCAGGACATAGGGAAAAACCCATGGAAAAACATGGAGGGTGACATTGCAGTTGAGAAAACGGAGCACCGATTTGACATAGATTTGCTCAGGGATTTTCATGGGGGGATCATCAACAAATAAGAACAAAACAATGAAACACGTAGAGAACCCATCAAGATAAATCGATATCAGTGGGGGTATAATTCAATGGAAAATGGCACCATAATATATCTGAATGATATCTGCATGAAAGCCCACCACCCCTCCGAAGATGATCAACAAATCAATACAACTCCAACAAATGTGTGGCCTTCAATGTTGAACTCAAACAAAAACACTCTTCCGAGATGAGTCCATTCTCCCATCTTCCAACTCAACCACAGATCCCCCCGAATTTTCACTCCAAGGAACACCGCAACCACCCCAGTTGCCACCGGCTCCTTTGCCCTTTCCGCTCCCAGCTCCCTTCGCGGAAACGGCTCCGCTGCCCTTGCTGAAGCCGACCCGTGGCGGCACCACACGGCCCGTGCCATGGCTACCATGGCTGCCATGGCTGCCATGGCTGCCATGGCTGCCATGGCTGTGGTCATGACTGTGGTCATGACTGTGGCTCTGGCCATGGTTGTGGCTCCACTGGTCATAGCCATGGTTTTGGTAGCCACCTTAAGGCAAGGAAATCCCAGGATTTTAAATCTTGGACCACCTGAAGAGGGAAAAAAAATAGCAGATACAAAAAAAAACAAATCCCCTGTGAAATGGCTGAATTATGTGCTTCGTGGCTTCCAGCTTCCTTGCGAGCCATGGCACGGGAAAAAAACCTTGCGAATCTTCATACCATTAGAATCCATTTCCGCAATTTCTTAGCTGGATGTGAAACATTTCCCCAGTAAAACCCAGGCAACCCAGGCACCAGTGGTCTTGATTCTGCGCACACCACAGCCACTCTGATGTCCGCACCATGCCCAAGGGTTGTCATCGCTGCAGCAAAACCACGCGTCCATGGCTGGGGATTGGATTCAGCTCTGAAACTTGAGGAAAAGTAACATGTCTGGCACGTGACATGTTCTATTCAGCTTAGATAATTGGTTCATATTTGTTCACTATTGGCTGCTTCAATTGTCGGGTGATCTTTTGGCATTGGCCCACCACATATCTCTAAGCACACACCGCATGCGTTTCTGCCGGTGACCATCTGACTGTCAGATTCGGCGGGTCCCCACTCCGGATTGCAGCTGAAAATTGCAGTGTACGTTCTTTTAAACATAAAGCAACCCAACAGTATCCCAACAGTTTTCATGGAATCCTGTGTCATCCTGTGTCCATACCTTCTTGTGCGCAACCCCAAACTCTGTGATATGCATAAAATTGCAAATAACAACCATGTTTGCACATTTTACCCTTTGGTAATTTAACACAGCTATCGAAAATCACCATTCTTGGGAGTAAATCATCTATGAATGGGTTAATTATTTCCCATAGATATGTTAAATTACCTGAGGTTAGGTACCATGCGCGCCCGAAGAAAGCCAAAAACATTTCAAACATTGGCAAACGATTTGTCTTGTTTGAGCTACCCCTCCAACGTTGTTCTAGTCCTGAACGATGACATCCTTGGCCTCTCCTCCTACTTCCCCCCGACAGGAATGAAAACAACACATACTTGCTGAAACAGAAAAGCAAAAAAGTGGGCTCCCATCCACTAATCGTCCCTATAACAATTCATCCTGTCTTCTGGAGTTTGTGACTTTGGAGCCCCTCGCTTTCTAGTTGTTTTTTTCCTCATAGAACGATCGGATGCTTTCCGATCTCCGGCGACCCTAGCACAGTGGCCAGGGACCAATTGCCTCCCTCAGTTGGGTGCCCAAGACATCGAGGAAATCTAAGGGACTTTGCAGGGCCAAGGGCCCTGTACTGCGGATCTTTCACACGAGACTCAAACGGAGGCGGGAGGTGTCTTCTTGGCACCCCACATTTCACACCTGGGATGCTCACGGTTCAAGTTTTTATACCTAAAACATCCACCATTTCAAAAAAGGTCTGAAAAAAGGTGAGATCTGTGAGTGGATTGGTTTCTGCGGGGAAACCCAAAAAAAGGTGTCGATCGGGCGAAGGGCATCCATCCCACTGAATCCATCTGTTCCATGGTTTTACAAGGTATGAACATGAATATCGTAGTTTTAATGCGCTATATACATCACAAATCTCCGTGAATGCATCAATGACCATTCCGCAATAAATAGTTTATTAATCATGCATCTTGTGATTGTCATTAGTTTGTATACCCATGATTTCCCCTATGAACATATCATTTAACGTTACAAAATGAGTGAAATCCATCTACCAATTCCCATGGTGGATCTTGGGTACCTGCCAAAAAGTCTTAGTTTTAGCTGGCTAGTACGTTTTACCACTTTGAACCAAAAGATTACAGTACTAGTTCGTATCTAACCAAGGTTGACCCACGATTTCTCCATTCACATCCCATTTAACACCATTAAAACATGTTAAACCCATCCACCAGAACAACTCCATGATTTCTCCATTCAAATCCCACCAGGTCCCATCTTTTTTTTTTAGGTGAAATCCACCAATTCCCATGGCGTTACCATCTCACCCAGGCACACCAACGTCACGCCCTCGAACTGGGAACCATTCAGGGCAGCGCAGGCGGTCATGGCTTCCGAGTTCGACCTCGAAACGGGGGGGACCAGCAGTGGTGTGCCATGGAAAGGGTTTCCCATGATTGGAAAGGGTTAGCAGTCCTTAAGAATGGTTGATGATGATGATGATGATGATGGTGATGATGATGATGATGATGATGATGGTGATGATGATAATGATGGTGATGATGATGATGGTGATAATGATAATGATGGTGATGATGATAATGATAATGATGGTGATGATTATGATGATGATGATGATAATGATGGTGGTGATGATGATGATGATTATGATGATGATGATGATGGTGAAGGTGATGATGATTATGTTATGATGATGGTGATGATGATGATGATAGTGATGATGATGATGATGGTGATGATGATGATGGTGATGATGATGATGGTGATGATGATGATGATGATTATGATGATGATGGTGATGATGATGATGGTGATGATGATGATTATGATGATGATGATGATTATGATGATGATGGTGATGGTGATGATGATGATGGTGATGATGATGATGGTGATGATGATGATGGTGATTGTGATTGTGATGATGATGATTATGATGATGATGATGGTGATGATGATGATTATGATGATGATGGTGATTGATGATGATGGTGATTATAATGATGATGATGGTGATGATGATGATGATTGATGATGGTGATGATGATGATGATGATGGTGATGATGGTGATGATTATGATGATGATGATTATGATGATGATGGTGATGATGATGATGATGGTGATGATGATGATGATGGTGATGATGATGATGGTGATGATGATGATGATGATGGTGATGATGATGCTGATGGTGATGATGATGATTATGATGATGATGATGATGATGGTGAAGGTGATGATGATTATGATGATGATAAAGGTGATGATGATGATGATAGTGATGATGATGATGATGATGGTGATGATGATGGTGATGATGATGGTGATGATGATGATGGTGATTATAATGATGATTATGATGATGATGATGGTGATGATGGTGGTGATGATGATTATGATGATGATGATGGTGATGATGATGGTGATGGTGATGATGATGATGGTGATGATGATGATGGTGATGATGATGATGATGATGGTGATGATGATGATGATGATTATGATTGATGATGGTGATGATGATGATTATGATGATGATGATGGTGATTATGATGATGATGATGATGACGGTGATGGTGATGATGATGACGGTGATGATGATGATGCTGATGATGATGATGATGGTGATGATGATGATTATGATGATGATGATTGATGATTGATGATGGTGCTGATGATGATTATGATGGTGATGGTGGTGATGATGGTGATTGATGATGATTATGATGATGATGATGGTGGTGATGATGATGATTATGATGATGGTGGTGATGAAGATGATTATGATGATGGTGATTGATGATGATGATGATGATTATGATGATGATTGTGATGATGATGATTATGATGATGATGATGATCATGATGATGATGGTGGTGATGATGATGATTATGATGATGATGGTGATGAAGATGATTATGATGATGGTGATGATGATGATGGTGATGATGATGATGATGGTGATGATGGTGATGATGGTGATTATGATGATGATGGTGATCATGATGATGATGGTGATGATGATGATGGTGATGATGATGATGGTGATGATGATGATGGTGATGATGATGATGATGGTGATGATGATGGTGATGATGATGATTGTGATGATGATGGTGATGATGATGGTGATGATTATGATGGTGATATTGATGATGATGATGATGGTGATGATGATGATGATGGTGATGATGATCATGATGATGGTGATGATGATTATGATGATGTTGATGGTGATGATGATGATGATTATGATGATGATGATGGTGATGATGATGGTGATGATGATGATTATGATGATGATGGTGATGGTGATGATGATGATGGTGATGATGATGATGGTGATGATGATGATGGTGATGGTGATGATTGATGATGGTGATGATGATGATTATGATGATGATGATGATGGTGATGATGATGATGATTGATGATGGTGATGATGATGATGATGATGGTGATTGATGATGATGGTGATGATGATGATGATGGTGATGATGATGATGGTGATGATGATGATGGTGATGATTATGATGATGATGTTGGTGATGATGATGATAGTGATGATGATGATGGTGATGATGATGATGATGATGGTGATTGATGATGATGGTGATTATAATGATGATGATGGTGATGATGATGATGATGGTGATAATGATAATGATGGTGATGATGATAATGATGGTGATGATTATGATGATGATGATGATAATGATGGTGGTGATGATGATGATGATTATGATGATGATGATGATGGTGAAGGTGATGATGATTATGTTATGATGATGGTGATGATGATGATGATGATAGTGATGATGATGATGATGGTGATGATGATGATGGTGATGATGATAATGGTGATGATGGTGATGATTATGATGATGATGATGGTGATGATAATGATGATGATGGTGATGATGATGATGATGGTGATGATGATGGTGATGATGGTGGTAATGATAATGATGATGGTGATGGTGATGAGTGATGATGGTGATGATGATGATTGTGATGATGATGATGGTGATGATGATTATGATGATGATGGTGATGATGATGACGGTGATGATGATGATGATTATGATGATGATGATGGTGATGATGATTATGATGATGATGATTGATGATGGTGATGATGATGATGGTGATTGATGATGATGGTGATGATGATGATGATGGTGATGATGATGATGGTGATCATGATGATGATGATGATGGTGATGATGATGATGATGATGATGATGTTGGTGATGATGATGATGATAGTGATGATGATGATGATGGTGATGATGATGATGGTGATTGATGATGATGGTGATTATTATGATGATGGTGATGATGATGATGATGAGTGATGATGGTGATGATGATGATGATGGTGATGATGATGATGATTATGATGATGATGATGGTGATGATGATGATGATGATGGTGTTGATGGTGTTGATGGTGATGATGATGATGGTGATTGATGATGATGGTGATGATGATGATGATGATGGTGATGATGATGGTGATGATGATGATTGTGATGATGATGGTGATGATTATGATGGTGATGATTATGATGGTGATATTGATGATGATGATGATGATGATGGTGATGATGATGATAATGTTGATGATGATGATGATGGTGATGATGATGATGATAATGTTGATGATGATGATGATGATGATTATGATGGTGATGGTGGTGATGATGTTTATCATAGTGGTGAATAAATGGCATGATGATGCTGATGATGATGATGATGAAGAAGGTGATGATGATTATGATGATGATGATGGTGGTGATGGTGATGATGATTATTATTTTTAGTGGTGAACAAAAGGCATGATGATGATGATTATTATTATTATGATGATGATGCATAAATGGCATGATGATGATGATGGTGATGATGATGACTATTATTATTAGTGGTGAATCAACGGCAAAATGATGATGATGATGATGATGATGATGATGCATAAATGGCATGATAATGGTGGTGATGATGATGACTATTATTATTAGTGGTGAATCAATGGCATGATGATGATGATGATCATGATCATGATCATCATCATCATCATCATCATCATGATGATCATGGTGATGATGGTGATTCAGAATGGAAATAGCCTCTGGTGTCATCAAACATGCTGGATTGAACTATAACTAGCAGAAGCGATGATATCACGGGAGTATCATGGGGATTTACCATGCGAAATGGGGAGTTAACCATCCAACGAATACCCGGATGGGTAATTAAACATGGCTAGCTGGGAAATCCACATCGCTGGGAAAATCATCGAACTAAATTGCTGGGATATTCCAGCCAGCCACGTTTGATCATCGGCCATCTCGGCTTATCTTGGTTTTATGGTTCTTATGGTGTTTTGATGTGGATCTGGGGGTCTCATCGGCATTTCGCCCATATGCTCCCGCCGTGGCGCTTGTAGGCGGCGCCTCCGGTGCCGCTCTTGCCAATCTCGGCATAGAGGCATGGCACCCCGGCGGTCGACATGTGCTCCTGGGCGGCGCCGTCCCCACAGGAAAAAGCCACTCGTAAAGCCTGTTCCCCGAAACATCAAAATAGCAAGAGTAAATTGATATTCATCTTATTCATCCCCCAACAAATTGTGTAGGTATTGATCCACAACCATATGCTGGGGCTCCAAGAACCGTGAAAGAAGTGACAATTTGGATTGGTTGTTTCTCACATTGAAACCATCAAGCAGTGCGGCTTGTCAAGCGATTGGCCTTAAAAAACCTCCATGGGAGTTGGGAGTTATCAGGGGCCCTTTCAGGAACCTAAATTAGACATAATTAGACCATATATAGGGCCTGTATAAGGGCTCATGTAAGGGAATATTCCCACAAAATATGGTCTTATATGATACAGTACCTCGATTTTAGGGTCTTGAAATTCCCACAGAAGATAGCTTTCATGGATATAATATATATATATATATAGTTGACCCAGTACGAAACCACGCAACAACTGGATATTCGAAGTTGTCTGCTGACTTCATGGATCACTTCAATCCATTCACCACCCAAAGTTTGCCAAGGAATCATCGACTGGGATCATCTTCCACCTACCCTCTGGTTATTTAACATAGCCATGGTATAGATGGCCCATTTATAGATGCCTTACCTATTAAAAATGGTGATTTTCCATATGGCTCTGTTAAATAACAAGATGGTAACATGGTCATCATCTAAAATAGCACAAATTAGCAATGGCACATCAACATCTGGACAAATAGAAACAAATGTAACAAAGGGATATAACCCGGCCGAAGCACCCAACCATCCAACACCATCCCCACAGCGTTCCTTGAATCAAACATCAATTCTAACTTATCCATACTTATCCAACTTCATGATTCATCATAACCGCAACACCAATGATCTCTTTCATCTCCTTCAATTTCAAGAAATTCAATGGTGAACCCTGAAATAGTTGGTAAAGGGATGTTCATCCCCTCAAATACAGTACTAATAGGTCTTGACCCGTCCCCATTTGATACTGTAGATATTTGCATTCACTTCCCTTCTGTCAGCTGTTGAAAAAAACGTCCAAGCCGTTGGTTCCTGGTTGCAACCTAGTAGATATACGGCTCTACACGCGCAACTGGCAATACATCAGTTGGTGTATGTATATATATATATATATGTATACATATAAATGTGCGATATGTTATTTCTATATAGAGAGAGAGGGAGTAATCTCCAAAAAATAGAAACGTATGTACTTAATTTATATCATTTTAGCGCTCTTTTAGGATGATGTTGCTTTTCTATCTATTTGGGTTTGCTATGGTTTGCTGTACGTGTGTGTGTGTGGGTGCGCGCTCCGGATATGAGCCACTTCCTAGTCCAACTCCAACATGTGAGGTGGCGACGGTGCAACCCAACTGTTCTCCTTCAACTTCATGTTCACAAAAACCTAGTATTCTCCGTAAGCATGGCTGGCTGTGATATGTTTTTCTTTGTAGGTTTTCATAGGAACATCATCTATCAAATGGCCTTTCTGTTGCGATGTTGGGTTACTGTAGGCAACGCTGGAAATAACAAAATCTCAGAAAAACAGCAAAACACTATAAACCCAGATTTTCAATAGAAATTGGCCACACCAACCACCCTTACTACCGTACGGCATTTGCTGAAGAGGACTCCCCCCAAACTCATGGACTCAGCAAATCCCGGGTCCCGGACTATACAAAAAAACTGGTTGGTGGTGCAATGTGCCCATCTTGCAAAATGATGGAGTTCGTCAATGGGAAGGATGACATCCCATATATGAAATTATGAAAAGGAACATCAAATTCATGTTCCAGTCACCACCAACCAGAATGCTATAGTTTGATTATTTCTATATATTTCTATTCCACTATCCCATGATCTTCGGCTGTTCTCCCATTGTTACAATAGCGCCCCAGCTCCTTCAACTTCATGTTGACCTCCTTGCTCGCATTGTCGGCCGGCATTCCGGAGACCCAGACCTTGCGGTCCGTGGTGAAGTTCCGCAGGCCGTTCTTCCCGGAGCCTTTGCCCATCATGGACATCATCATGGCGTTGAACATGGGCTGCCAAACCTGGCTGAAAACAGCAAGCCGCCTCCCTTTGTTAAAGGGGGTATTTATGATTTTATGGCTGGGATTATGGACAGCTAAACCTCAGAGAGCTCCCTGGCTTTTGTTGGGGGATCAACTCATAGGATCCATTGGAGAGTTCCGATCGGGGATGGTTTGACGTAAGGGAAATTCAGGAGCCGAAATGAGACAACTTGATGGGGAAAGCTTTGGAAAACCATCAATATCATGAGGATTTGATGGGGATATTAATATGATATAATGTGGATAGAACAATGCTGTAGTCCAACATCATTGATGCAGACATATGCAAACCACAGTGGAGCCCTTTGGTGTCTGCCTCTGGCAATGAGTCACCATGTCTATAGGTGCTATAAACCATTCCCAGTCATGGGTGGTTTATGGCATGGTTTTACCCACATTAATATGATATATATAATGGTTGGAAGATCCGCGAGCTGCAAGTGCCCCCCTAGTTCTGAGTCAGAAACTGTTGGTTTTGTGTTTTGCACCATCAAAAGTTCGACAGAAGTAAAAGTCCCATCCAACTATAAACCTCGCGAACTGGGACACCATCGATACCATATCTTCACCTCAAAAAAACTGTGATTCTCTATAGCTATGTTAAGATAAACCCCCTGAGACAATCCTCCAAGTAGCTGCCAAAAAGACCCACTTCGAGGCTAACAGAAACGTTTTGGTCCGTGCAGATTTTTCGTAAAACGTGGATGGAGAAGGACAACTTGATGGCTTTACTGTGTCAGCTTGGAAGTTTGTTTCCACGTCTGGATCTTCACTGGGAAAAAAACAAATGACCATTCAATCTAGTTTTCTGGGCCATGGTCGTTTTCAATGCTTGGATCTATCTGTGGATTTCCAGCAAGCAACTCCGCAGCCGCCCCACTGGCCACCGGCTCCTCCGCCCTTTCCACAACCTCCATAGCCCTTGCCCATGCCCATGGCACCTTTGCCCATGCCCATGCCTTTACCACCGCCACTCATATCACCCATGCCACCGCCCATTCCACCCATTCCACCGCCCATTCCGCCCATTCCACCGCCCATTCCGCCCATGCCGCTCCAGTCTTGTCCAGCACCCCAATCCTTGCCACAGCCGCCCCAGCCCATCGTGATGAGTCCTGCCGCTTTGGAACAACATCGCTACCATGTGAGGCGGCATCCAAGATAGCTAAGTTGATCAATATAACTAAGCAAATTGTATCGAATTGCGGGGTTTATGGTAGATATGACGAACTAGTTCCTGCAAACACATCCGGGGGGCACCACATTGAGGGATAGAAACAACATGTCAATTCGTAGCTAGTTAGACCATGTAACATCAAAGTTGCAAAAAATACATTCATCCTCCTTCACCTGCCGTTTACCCAAACATGTGGCGCGTCAAGCTTTGATTTTGTTGATAGCTCTCCATTGATGGGTGGAGTTTGTGGAACTGCCACCGTGCCACCGGATTGCCAGCCCATGGTTTTTTTTGGATAAACCCCGGTAGATAAAGGACAGCATAACTTCCGAACTCATCAACCAAGTGGGCTGTCTTGTAGCCATTACTCATGGTGATGTTCTTTGAGGTCCTACTGAGAAGTTAAAGGCCTCAGGGGACTGCCCTGGATCCACCTTGCGAATCATCCCATTTCTCACTTCCGCACCCATCTAAACTATACCTGGTGGTTACATCCCACGGTTACCCTGGAGTGATCAAACGGCAATGGAAAATCCATGAAAATCCGTGGTTTACAGTTGATTTGTCCATGAAACAACCTCCATTTACTTCGTAGATTTTCCAGCCTCCCATGGTTGATTACCGAAGGTTAATACCCCAAGGCACCCGCCGGCACCCGGCGTCCTGAAATGAAAGGAGCTAGGAATCCTTTTATGGTCCTCTCGGCCAGGTGTGGCACAGCTGAGCCAAATGGCGGCGAGTTCCCTGTTCGCTTCGCAATGGCCATCTGTAGGTCATTTTCTAGTGCCAGGTTAGATTACCAGAAAGATCAGAAAGCAAAATCATCAAGTCAAAGCTACAGCTATAGTTTTTTTCCCCAATTTTTGTGTGGTCGACGACCTGCGCCGAAAGTGCAATCAGTCTGGGTATGTCTCAAACTTGCACCTGTTTATCAACTTGCTTCATGATGTTGCCCTTTCAAAGGATCATATCTTGGGAAAAAAAAACGCGGTTCTTTTGAGACTTGACGACTTGTCTGAGAATTTGGGGAGAACACCCTAAATCTAGACTGCTTCACCAGCATGTTCCCCATTTTTCAATGGCCATAGCGGTCGGATCGCCAGTTTTTGGTCGACTTTTTGGTCGAGTTGACGATGTCGGCGTCTCTTGCGCCACAAAATTTCGGCTGTTCTCTCGCTCCAGGAATGGTAAAAAGGTGGTCCACACCTAAAAATTAGTTAATTTGAATGGTACCTGAGATTGAAGCATCAATAAAATATCTATAAAAGTCAAACCAGACAATTTTAATGAAAACTTATATGAATAGATTATCACAAAAAACCGCCCAAACAATTCGCTGTCACTGCCTCACAGCTCGGCTTTCACTTGACGTCTCAGAAGTCCTCAGAGATTCAGAGGTTTACCTCCTTCCGGAGCCATGGGGAGCCATGGGGACCTGGGGGTGCGTGGCTAACCACCATAGTCTAGCCAATTATCCGTGGGATATGTATATCTATATCTATATGTATAAACATTGTAATAAATATAAATAAATTATATACATCTACATTGATTAGATTTAATTAGTAGTCATGTAAGTGCGTAATATAAACCACCTTTTAACTGGGATGCACGTCCAAGCAGTAACAGGGCCCCTCGAGTAAGATAGATTTTGATATACTCCGCTCTCTTTAACAAACACCATGCAGAAACCCTGGTTTAATATGAAATCTGCTCATTTCGGTGAATGTTTTTCCAAAGGGAGACAGCACTTTAGCACCCGCTGCCACCGTACAGGAGGCCCCAAGTGCCCCAAAATGAAAAATTGCTTCCTGGAAAACCACCAGGTACGTTTCGGGGTTTCGGGGAATACAGAGTAGATGTTTAGAGTTTAGATGTTTAGACTTGTTTAGACTAAAAATAGTCACTTTTCCCCCAAATAAAGTGGATATCATGTACCTGGAATGGGTTGGAGCCCTGTCTATCCAGGGTTCCACTTTCCAACGGATCATGGCAAAAGTTCCTTCTCAAATGTTCTCAGTAAAACGAGATCACTTTCAGCCAGGTGCGACATGTATTTCCCCGTAGCTATACACATCCAAACACCTTTCCATGGATCAAGTGTGCGTTTTCATATGGAAAATGAGGATGGTCTCTCGCGAACTTCCAGCGATCAAGACATATGGGCCTGCCCAAAAAACTTGATGGCTGAACAAACCTAATGCTCCCCATTGTTTGACGGCAATTTGGGGGTATACCCGTATACCCCATGTTCAGACATATCCATCCAGATCATGCCATGACAGGAAGGCCTCGTACCAATAGTATCCATAAGTATCCGGGTTTCATCAGTTATGGGGTTACTATTGGTTTAACAAAAAAACAATTCCTATGAATTTCATAGTATCATCCCGTCTGGGTCAAAACTCTGGTACCCTAGGTACTTTAAGTAGCTGGTGAATGGCAAAACAAAGATGCATTTGTTCTCGGGTTTTGACATGTTTTGACCCATCCCCAAGTTTCGCCAATGTCAGTTCCTTAGTTCTGGGACCATCACCCCGCTCGACCAAGCGACCTTTGCCCCTTGGCCGTGAGATCGGCGGGAGCACGTTGGTTTCTTGGGGTTGAGGGTACCATGGTGAAATTTACACCCCAGAAGTTGGGACATCACCGCTATAACCAGAGGTGACATATCTCCACTTTTGTCGCTGGAACCGGACTTCCCCGAAGACAAAAAACAGCGACTCTGAGATACGTCGAGATACTTTTTTTATACTGTATCCCTTCCAAACCTTGGCTGAGTATTTCATGACTGGGGCCAATTGGGTCCCTCATGGGGCCGTTTTAACATTAGGGAGGTGGGATTGCGATATCACAAGACAATTCATGTATGGCAGGGCTCCAGAGTCCAGGTTCCTGTGTCTGTATATTTAAAAATAGATATATTTATATATAAATAAAAATGTATGCATGCAATGGATTCAAACAATATGTTTACATATATTTACATATATAATATATACTGTATATATATATAGATATATTATATTATTGTATGGTACGGTATGTACCATTGGTATGCATCATCCATTTACAGCTAGGTAAGAATACCCCCACTAATCCACATTCATAAAGCGTGACCAGCAAATAGGGCCCTGAAAAAACCAACTGAAACTCATATCAAGAGGCACTTTTCACAGCTGGAATCTTTGGGCAAAATATTTCAGTGGAAGATGAACTGATGTGGTTATGCAAACATGTTCATATGATGGCTGGTTATTGGGTTAAATATGATGGGATATGATTAGATATGATGAGGTATGATGAGATATGATGAGATGTCCAAATGAACTGATGTGATTACCAGTGGAATATTTCAGTGAAACCTGTAAATATTTCAGTAAAATGGGGTGTCGCTATGTCACGTTCACCATGAGGATTCCCAAGTTTCTTGAAAAGCCCTTTGTGGCTCGAAATCGGCCCATGAACATCCCATACCACACATGTTTAGGCTTTACACTAACACTGGGTATTGTGTTATGACCCCGTGTAGAACAGAGAAAGTTGATTTTAGCAAAAATAAATAAAAAGAAAACAGAATCACAAAAAAAACAAATCGACAGAAAGAATCACCAGAAAAAAACAAAAAGAATAACAAGAAAAATAAATAAATAAATAAGAAAATCAAAACCTGCATGTTCCTCAGTGTTTGTTTCTTTTGTTTTTTTTGTTTGTTTCTTCCTTGGTTTTGGTTTTGTGTGTTTTTTTGTTTGCTCTGGTTTTGTTTTTATTTTTATTTTTGTTTGTCAAGCCCTATATTCTCTGTGTTGCTGGACTCATACGTATTGTGTATTCCAGGTGTTTAAACACTCATAGCCACAGCTGGTACCAAGAAAACACACACACATAAACTTCGGCATTGTTCACTCTTGGGTTGACTGCATAATTTCAACCACCACATCCTTCCGACCCATTGAATGCCAGAAACTAACAGAAACTAACCCATCAACACATCATTCAAAACAAACCATTCAATAATACCAAGTTTGGAGTGGGCAAATAGATGCGCCCATACAATGTGGGCCCCCCCAGTTACAAGTTGGTTTATAAACCGCACCAAATCCCACTAATCAGACTATAGTTGTATTTAAGTATCATAAACCATAGTTATTGGAGTTAATTGCACCAACGTAGATATCGTCCGGGGGCCCCACTTAGTCATTGAGAAGTTGATATTCCCATTAAACCTCCATATACTTCGGGGATTTCCCATTGCTAACCAAGAGTATCATCCCCATTTATGATAAACTCATATGAGCCCCATTATTCTTGATGGTTTACCACCATTATTTATATTATTTCCCATATATACATATATATATATGCCCATTATTCATCATACGTTCATGATCATATCATTGATTACCACCATTATTATTATCATATATTCCCATTATTCATCATATATTCCCATTGTTTACCACCATTATTATTATCATGATCCATTGGACATTTCTAGAAATTTCAGACTAATGTGTGACGGTCCACCCCCAAAGGGGGTGCCTCCGCCGAGGGACTCCATGAAACGACGCATGGCGTGTAGTGCGTTGCTGCCGATCTGTTGAAAGCTGGGCTCCTCATGGGCTTTTCACGGTTTCGAGGTGACAAAACCCAGCCGAAAAATGGTGATTTAACAGCATTCTCTTGATTTAACGGTGACTCAATGGTGATGAAATGGAACTTAGTTGGTGATTTAATGATGATTTAAGATGATTTCATGGTGACTAAATGGGAATGAGTTGGCTAAGTTGGTGGGCACTTAACTAGGCAAAACCTATTGTTATTCTCCAGTTGGTTTCTTTCGAACTAGTTATATGGATGTTTTATAGAGCAA